AACAAACAATGGAGAAGTGTCATTTTATGCCATACATTTTCTCTTGTATAACTCATCGTGGATCCCTCTATCTAATTTCGTAAAAAAGTCCCGGGAAAATATTAAAAAATTATTTTGAAAAATCCCTGTAGGGGAGTACGGGGATTTTGAAGAGATGCCTTTTCCAAAAGCCTTGAGGGGGAGTACAGAGATTTTTTGAAAAAAAATTTTTTAATATTTTCCCGGGACTTTTTTACGAAATTAGATAGAGGGATCCACGATGAGTTATACAAGAGAAAATGTATGGCATAAAATGACACTTCTCCATTGCTTGTTGATGGAACTCAAATCGACTGCCTTCTTGTAAGAGTTGCTTCTTACATTTACTGCAATATAACTTATAAGGCAATATTCTGCTTTACATATTCATCATAACAAATTGCTTCACATGCACTTTTGTAGAGAAAATTGAGCGCTATCCAGTGATACTTGATTCAAGCGAAAAAGCTACAAAGCTGTCAAGAAAAATCTCAAGTATATAAATATGTTCTTGCATGCCAGAGAATTAAAATATAGTGTCAGCAGCCACTATTCAGGTTTAAAGTTTGCACCGGCTGCGCGTTTTGAAATAATGTCCGATACATGGTTCGATGCAAAATTGAATGGGCTACAAGATGATGTAAAAATATTTTTGGCAATCGATTTCTGACCTAGGTATTTGGCCAAAATACTGCAAAATTGACAAAGATTGATTCACGGGAAAAATGCAATTTTTTAACTTTTTCGGTTTCAAATGTAAATGTTAGACGAATGTCGTACATACCGTTTTGTAGAGCAATTCAAGCTCTATCGACTGGTATATAACTTAATTTGAACAGTTGGAAAATTTGAAGAAAAAAATTCACAGAAACTATAAGTTGAATTTTTTGTATTTTTTGATGATATTTTTAGGGTGTCTGAGATTGGTTGGTCCTAGCGGACCATAGGTAGATCTGTAGACCACAATATTTTGGATTTATGTATGGTACACTAAGGCCTAAATTCCTATGATATCAGATTCAAAATCGGTTGACCCCCATGTTTTCGGAATTTTGATATTTTCATGGAACGTCTCTTAATTAGTACATTCACTTTTATAGATTTCTAGACTATTTTTTTTCCATGAACCAATTTTCATAGACCCTACTAAAATTTTCCTGAGAAAAATTTCAAGTTGTCGTTACAGAATTTTAATTGTAAATGAAAATCGTGTTGAGATGGAAAATCTTTGAAACTATATATGTTTCACAACGATTGATTTTGTTTATCTATTTCTTTTGTAACAAAATACTTACATTTGTTCAAGTGATGATACATAAGTGATAAACTCAAGGTATCGTATTTCTATAATGTACCTATCGAGTATATTATAAAGAATAAATAGTGTTTGGCATGCTATGGATGTTTCTTTTTTTTTGTGCATCACTTAGAAAAACAATTAGAATATAAAAGCACTAAGAGAATATGGATGCAAATTGATATTTAGTGATTAGATCGAGTTTCGACTAAGATCTTTCCCTAAACATAGACCTCAAGTAAATTTACTTATATGAAAGCTTTCTGAAGTTTAGGATATTACATCTGCGAGATATTTAATTTTTCACAATCCATGTTTAGTGCAAAAGTGCCTATATTATGAAATCTTATTATCTGAGAGATACAATGTCTCCAATTGCATAAAGTTGTTCATATAAGTAAATTTAACTGAATGTCCATGTCATTCGAAAGATCTAACTCGAAAGTAAAAAACACGGTTTTTATTTAACCTCATTGCTCTTTTTTGTTTTCAATGACTAATTACATCACAATGCGACTATTGAATAACAATCAGAAAATACTATCTTCGTAATTTAGTGTGCATCACATTTTTTTATGATGATGTTGGTAATCCGTTATCGTGCGTTTTCATTGTTTGTTTTTTTTATTCTTTCTCTTTTCTTTTTTGATGATTCATCGATTTACATTCGTACCGAACTAACAAACAGACCTATATTTTTTCCTTTATCAAGAAAACGTGGCTCATGCGGAGTGTAGAACACTTGAAGAAAAAAAAATGTATGTAGCTTTTTCGTACATGATTGTATTATAACGCTTTAGTTGACAAAACCTGAGGAAAAAAAACAAGACGTATGTCGTATTCTGGCTATTATTAGTCATATTACGATGTAGCCAAGCAAAATACAATCAATGTTGATTTATTTGTAAGTTCGAACGCTTTAGTTTGTTTTTTTCTCGAAATCGAATTGCATCAATTTGTTCTTTATTTCGAAAAAACAAAATTCTAAATGAAACTAACCATAGTATGCCAAATCATCTATTTATCCGTGGTTTGAATGAAATCACAACACATAAAACTATGCAAATAGTATAAAAGAAAAAAAGACATATTTACATAATAAACGCATTAATAAAGAGATCTATTGAAGAATGCGAATGCTAAAAAAGGAAATAATATAGCAATTTCTTTTGAGAATTATCTTAACATGCAATAAAATATTTTAGATATTGACAATAACGACATATTATGTTGAATAATCAATATTGGGATAGTATATCATCGTTTGATTTTGATGATTTGCTTTCATTACCTGATGAATCTAATGTTCAAAATGAATATGATCAATATTCTATGTTATATGATGATATAATTAAAGACAAAACAACTTCATTGTCTAAGGTAGAAGATTTAAATCTATATTCATTAATACTTTTATATAATATTAACTGTTATTTTCGTTAGATTAATCAATCTCAACTACAAACATTATCAGAGAATAATTCAATACAAGAATCTCAACTATTAAATCTCGAATGTGGCGTTTGTGGTGCTCCAGCTCATGGTTATAATTTTGATCAGATTACTTGTGAATCGTGCAAAGCATTTTTTCGTCGAAATGGATTACGTGATATGGTAATTAGTATTCACTAGATAGATGAGAATTATCAGAATTTTGGTTTAATTATTCATTATAGAATGTTGAGAGTCAATAAAGATAATGAAAAGCTATACTTAAAAAACAAGAAGTAATTACGATATTTTACGAGGATACGTGTCAAACTCGTAGTTTGTCCATTGATTGAATTCCACGAAATTAGTGAAAATCTAAAAGGATTTGTACTTGTAGCTTGTTCCTTTGCAGTTATGACCGTTTTAATGAGCTGTTCATCTTAGACAGGTGATTCTGTATTAGATCGAATGACAGAGATTTGATCTGATATTTTGTGTATGAATAGGCCCTATTGTCATGCGATTACTTTGAAAATTTCATTTAAAAAGCACGATTTCTTCTATGAGACATGAAAGTATCTTAATCAATCAACATCTCCATTATAAATCGTGTTTTATTGAAGTGAAATCTTCAGAATAATTTAATGGAGGTAAAACGTACTCAGAAGTAATATTTCAGATCACATTTTGTGTAACTAGTCTTTGACTAAGTAACTTGCCTGACATTGAATATTGAGCAAAAATGGTTATAACTTCCAAAGAACAGAGTATGTACGTGAATCCTTTTGGACTTCCACTAGTCGATCTCACGAAGTTCTATATATGCACAAACTATGAGTTGAATTGACATCCGACATTTGAATACACTTCTTGGTTAGTGTTAAATAGTTTTAATCGTATAACTTTGAAAGACGTAGGAACAAAATATTGGACTCGAATATTGATAAATGGAAAATGACTACTTCTTAAATAGCGAATGACTGAAATTTCGAAAAAAAAGACTTTACCCAGCTGTCACGAAACAATACTATTATAAGATACATGTGAAGGCTGAAGCTAACATTGTTATAATACATATGGGGCTGGTCAACCTGGCCGGAGGTCCCATTAATATTTCTTTGTATTGTAAGGATAAAACATACTATTGTTCGGGTCATATAAGAGAGGATCCTAGATAACCTTGGATTGGCCCGAACAACATCATGTTTTATCCGTACAATAGTAGAGAAAAGTTACCAGCTCACACAATAAGCTGGTAGCTTTTCTCTACTATTGTACGGATAAAAAATGATGTTGTTCGGACCAATCCAAGGTTATCTAGTATCCTCTCTTATATGACCCGAACAATAGTATGTTTTATCCTTACAATACAAAGAAATATTAATGGGGCCTCCGGCCAGGTTGACCAACCCCATATGTGTTCTATCTCGAAATATTCTTCTTCTGCTTAAATCCACTTTTGCCAACAATTCTGAAAGCTTTTGTAAAGTCATTTTTAGACAAGCTGTTCAAACATTAATGCTTGTAGTGTCTTTCGTTCAGATAATCTTTTTTAATTCAGGAGACAGAAAATAATCATTCAAAGTCAGATCTTGAGAATTGACATGTTTGAGCACGTTCTTGTCTTTGATCAGATGCTAGTAAATGTGTTTTCCATCTTGAAGAAACTTTTGTCATATGTAATTGATCATACAAAATATTATGCATTATGCCAGTTGAAATACTTAAGGTGTCTGCGATTTGATGATTGGTCTTGAAACAAATTTAATAGTTTGATCATCAATGTTCAACTGTTCATTGTTGAAAAGACAAACTCAGTCAAACATCATTATACATGATGGAGATTGATTTTCCAAGACAAGAAATTTTGATTATTGAGCGATGTTCAAACGTTTTGTTTTAAGTAGACAAAAGATGATCTAACAAAAATCATTATTTTCATGCACAAGTATTTCATTGGTTACTATTTGAGTTATACATAGATTAAAATCTAAGAACAATAATGTCTCTTATTGTTGTTTAATAAAATCTGTTCAGAAATTTTTTGAAGGCTCTACATGTGATAATTCTTTTTTTTTTGTTTTTAAATATTTAGTCTAAGGAGGTTTTTTTTAATCTTAGCTGGAGGTGAAACAATGCGACCATTACCACGTCCTCAAAGTGTTGAACCATTTTTTCAAACACATCAAATACCAATACTGGAGGTATGTTATTATTTTGTTATTTAGTTGGTTTTTTTCTTCTTGTTTTAATATCTATCAGTCTTCTCTAGAAATAGAAATATTATTCAAGGTAATATGAATAACAGAAAAAAAAATTAAAAAAAAATGCGTGTTTTAAAAATCCGTTAAAATATTGCATGGATTTGCTGTTCGAAATAATTCTTATGATTTATATTATATTATAATCGGATTAATTTTTTTAGAACGATGAAGATGAACATCTACCGACGGCGGCATATGCACATGTGAAAAAAAAATCTGAACGACCACCAGTAAATAGTTTATTTTAATATATTTAAATAATATATTTATTATTTAAGATTACACCGCCACGAACACCACAGACATCAACCATACGTGTATGTTATTTTTAAAACGTCGATGTTGTTCTGTTTTGAAAAGAAAAGCGTATTCGTCAAAAAACATGAATAGTACTGAATTGAAAATTGACATCTGTATTATTTTGAACTTGTCGAACGAGTATCAAGAACATAATTAAATCAGATCTATCAATTCTAATCATCAAGTTTAGATAAAAGATATATTTTGTCATTGTACTAACAGACGTGATAGACATGTTAGAAACGTATCATTAGAAAATTTGAACTAATGCATTTCAAAAAGAAAGGTTAGGTGGGCATTTTTTTTTGAATATCTTCTCATCGAATAATATATGGTGACTTTTTCTAAGATATGGTCTGATGGTTTTTAATCAAATTTATAAAAAAGAGTATGGGAAAAATGATACTTTTCAACATAAGAAAAAACAAAAATGTAATTTTTTTTTTTTTGACAGCAACTGTTTGAAAAATTTTGACTAGTATAACTATGACTTCTGAATAACTAAATCTGAGGCTTACGTAATTTTATGAACTTTTCATTGGTAGTTCAAATGCATAGCCAATAATTAAAAATTCACTATAGTGTCACCTCACAGAGAACGTTTGCTTTTCAAAAAAGATCGATTGAAAACTTTAAAAAGACCGAAAACTGTAACTCTCTGTATCGTTTCTATTCAAAGGTATTGAAATAATCCTCACCCACCTTACTTCTGAAGTGGACGTTGCTTCCTACTATCATTTCTCGGGGATTAAGTAAAAGAATGATGAAAAAATTAGTCCCAAAATAGAAAAATAAAGCGATCTCTCTGTACTTAGCAAGAGCAGCTATATCGTATTTCACATTTTAATCCTACAGAGACTATGCTTAGAGTTTTTAATAAATACTTAAACCAGTAGTTGATGGATACTTTTGATAAATGATATTTTTTTTTCTAACACAATGCGCATCGAGTTTATTTATTTATTACGAATTTTTTTTTTCTTCATCAATTCTGTTTATTGTTACTTCAGGAAGTCAAACCGAAACGGCCACCACCACCGGCTGACTATGCTAATCTTCCAGTATGTTATCATAGAAATTGTCTATTTAAATAATGTTATTATCTTGTTTTAGCCTGAACCACCAGCTCGACCGGCAGTACATCGAGAAACGTCGTCAACTATGAATCCTGATGATGCAAGAAATAAATAAATAAATAATTTAATTTAAAAAATATTTGTTTTATTTAGGCTCTTCTTGCAGCTATTCGTCTAGCAACAGATCTTGATCCGAATAAACAAGCTGAGCAAATCGTTATGGCTAATAGCTAAATCTATCTGTCATGTTTATTTAGTTTCATGTTTTTTTGATCATTTTTTTCCTTTTATCTGTTTTGTGGTAGTTTTTCATGTATATTTCTTTTCCGCAATATTCTCATATCATCTTATTGATGTTCATTTTTTTGCATATAAGCAGACAAATCATTCTTATTTCGATAATAAATTATCAGGTTATTCAATATTTAATTAATCATTTTATGATTAAAAACTTTCTCGAATTAATGCATAAATAATTGACATCAAATTCGACATTTGATTAAAGCAGGCAAATCATATGTGAGCTATACGATAAAATCTTCAGCTCAATGCAATTAAGGATATTCTTCTTCCTTTTCAACCATTTCTGATACGGATACTCGGAAGTATTCTCCAGAATTACAGTAGACTGTTTTTGTGTTTGACAATCTTAACCGGATTTCCAGAGCCATGTAGATTAGCATCCCGGTTCGGTATCCGAATCTTTTATGTGTTTTTTTTTCACAAAAGAAAAGAAAACCATACTTTTCAAAAAAGCTTAAGGTATATCGAAAAATCTTTTCAGCACGATCGGATAAAATTAGACGAGCTCGATGTAGTCCTATGGAAAATCATAGTTCTCACAAAAAAAATTGCGAAAACTTTGTTTACATTTTTTTCATTAAACATCTGGCTCCTAATTTTATATGCTCTATCTGGGGTAAAAATTTCATGCGGATTTGTTGTACTCTCTTCAAGCACATGAAATAGCCAAGAAGGTAGTACCTATAAACCAGTCAGTCTTTTTGCTCAAGATGGAAATCTAGTTAATGGTTTTTTTAGATATGGATAACGTCGACAACTACGACTAGGAAATATCATTCTTGAGTTCACTAAGAAAATGTGATTAGTTGGAAAGTAAGAAAAATACATGTTATAGAAAGACACATTGATTGTTTTTGCTTCTCACTTACGACGATAACAAGAGAAAATCAAAATTAACTTTGTTTATTGTATAATATCACGTTGATGTGCATAGAGCCAACCTTTCGGTGTTCTTAGTTTAAAAGTTCAAACTTCGTTTAAACAATACAAACGTCTAAAACTAGATCTGTTAGATATCAACTACTTGAAAAAAACTCGGCATTCTACGCTTCAATATCGAAAATAGTATAACTGTTAACTTTTAAACTAGTTGTAAAAGACAGCTCTATTTGTATCAATAATATTTAATGTTTATAAAGTTTATTTTAAGTTTTTTTTTGTTATTATCTTAGGTGAGAACTGAAAACTGTCTACAGTTTGCTCTGTCACATGTAGTTTTCTTACTTGACAACAGATTAGTTACGTTTCGTTAGGTAAGTCAAAAACTAGAGTAGATAGGAACTATTCTGAACGCTTTTTTTAAACACTTGAAGTTAAAAATTTAATAACTTTTTGTTACTTGTTACTTTTAAGAAAAAAAAAACATTGACGTGTTGTAACTTGAAGTATTCTCTACCTATCTAACTAAAAATTTCAAAAAATATCTTTATCAATTCATTCGTCACCTATTTTCCTAGAGGCTCTGTCATTTGTTCATAATAGCCCCGCATGGAGCTATCATAAACATATGCTTCATAGAATGGGCTATTATGAATACTCAGCGACAGAGTTGGAAGCGGACAGCTTTTTTCTGTCCGGTCCATCCAAGAATTGGTCGGATGAATTTAACAGCCAAACTGGAAAAAATTGAATGAAAATAACGAACCATAAAAGTGGGTGTGGCTATTGCTGAGAACTTGTATGAATCCACACCCGACTCACACCAATACCGACACCTCACACGCATCCTCTCCCTCAAGACAAGTGAAGGGCAACCTGTGTTTCAACCCTGTTAGTTTGGCAGTAAGAGCTTTAATTTGACTCGAATATGTCGCATTCTTTTAATGGACAACATAGACACCTCCAATGTCAGTAGTTTTGTGCGAACTGATGAATATATTCGATAAAAATGAATACTTAACAAGACAAAGTTTCTTCCTTCACTTTGACATATTTTTGCATGGTGCAAAAATTCTAAATCATTTCTTTTAGGCTGGCCATATTCATCTGGAGAGAATGATTCTCGTTGACCGGTATCCCTGTAACCACGTCGATTGCAGTAAGCAATTAGTTCCGCTCTCTGAATCATGGCAGTCATTTCAATATAATCAACATTCCATTCATTTATCGCATAGTTCTCGGCCGTTGATAAAATCATTTTTCCATATCCTTGTTTTTGAAAATCCCGTCATACAGCTAACATGTCCATTTCTGCGCTCTTTTCCTAACATCATGTTGCACTGAGACACAGCCCATGCATCACAATCTGACAGAATCGTAACGCGAGAATTTAGCGAATTCAGGTCATTCATTGATTGATTTTTTATAAAATTCGTGTTGGGTGGCTGTTATTTGAATTACCAGTAAGGCACTGAAGCAAAAAGTAATGCAAAGATGAATTATGTTAAGACTTCTAGTTATGCGCGAACGAATCATTGATGGTTGTACTGTTTTGATTATGAGGATATTTTGGAGGTAGTACTTTGAAGGCATGATTGAAGGTTCAAATCGGATTATGAATTGAAAGAAAACCCACATCCTCACCGTCAAATTTGCTTTTCTTCTTCAATATTTTCTACTAAAAAGAGGTTCAAAACTGCTCGCATGTATGGAAATTCCTAGAACCCAATCAGAATCTCCTGATATTTTATCGTCTGAAAGCAATCATGCGAATTGCATGAAGAAACATAGTTCATTTCTGAAAAGGCACGTCAATAGTTTTATTCTTTTTTTCTTTCAGACAAAACCCATGTTGAAAAAGTTTCGTTTCTACTATTGACTACACCAGATAGACTTACAGACACTCAGAAGATACTATAACTAAATTATAGCTATGATGAGTATCCATGTATTACTCAATTTACTAAGAATTTATCGCTTGTCTTCAAGACACTTTTTGGACGTTGTTTTCATTATGGTGTAAGCTTATCAGTCAAAAGCAACATGCAAGAAAATTTTTCAGTTTCATTCGATCATGATCTGTCAACTGAAATGATTAGTCACGGACCCTGCAGTAGAATTCGAACACAAAGAAAAAAATGCGATGCAATAGGAGTAGAGGCTAGAACATTTCATTCACAGTAATTGGGCACATCTTCATAATGAGAAATGTTTCCTTGCAAGCAGAGGCAGAAAATATAGATTGATTCTACTTTCTACAAAAATCACGCATCCAAAAGATGCCTACTGTATTACTGCATCAGGAGCTTGCAAAGGGTTTGAAGTGGAGTAAAACTTGAACACATTTCTTACTTATTTGCTTGCTTTGATTCAGTGACAACGATGTCGAATCCATCTATTCTTTTTTTATGTTTGTTAACAAAATTATCTGCAGAATCCTAAAGTCCTTCAGTAGTTGAGATGAGATGCAAGCGTTATGCTATCGATAAAGCGACCGCATAGATAACCACGGTAAATTTCACTATAAAATGTTCTTATCAGACGGTGAAATCATGTAACTTTATACCAACTCCACCAAACTATTTTTCACTAGCAAGAACAGCATGATACAAATGTAAAAAGGAATGAAATTATGGATGCGCGTATAGGTATGGAGTAATTCTATGGATTTGAGTGTGGGCATGACGAAAGAGATACCCACACCCACACTCAGAGTTCAGCATATTGAGGCAAAGCTTAGAAGTAGATCTTATCTGGACACATTCAAGTCCACACTCTCATTCACAACCACAGCCACAGTCACACTCTCACAAATAAAAAACTAAAAACTAAAAGTTCTATTCGAAATAACCAAATAAATAAGACAGATCGTTTCACTGTCAATCGATTATCCTTGAAAAACAATTACAGTCTGCTAGAGATTTTTCACTCGGCGTATTTTGTATTGATATAATAAGGCTAAATAACACATGTGAATTAAATATTGTTACCCCAAGAAAACGGCTGCACTGACCAACTTTTTTCTATATTTGTAGGCTTTTGTATACCTAAGAGGGTTCTAGCAAGTTTCAAACCGACGAATTTTCCAATGCCAAGATTCAACATTGTATCTTTTCGCTACCATTTATATTTAAAAAAACAAACAATCTATGCTTTGTATTTTTTTCCCGTGGTTGTGCTACAATAGCACCGAATTAAAAGACTAATATTTCGAGATTCATAGAACCATTTGAGTCTCGAAAACTTAAAACTTTTATTAATAAAGCAGGGGTGTGGGTGTAGCGAATCAGAAACTCACATGCACCTGCATCCCAACCAAGTTTATGTTTCGTTAGATAACGAAGCGCAGTGAGAATTTGAATAGCACTGACTAAGTATTGCTCAGTTGTTCGTTCTTATTTCGTCGTTCTCATTTGTCGGCTTCTGTTGAGTAATAGCCATGAATCCGTAGCATGCGAGCCACCACACGCTGCTCAAGAAAGCCAATTTCGATTCAAATTTGTAGCAAAACGAACATATCATATCATTAGCAAAACAATCATGATACAGTTTATGATGACTTTTCGCTCGCTTGATATTGCTTTCGGTATGTGTGCTCGTACAACAGAAATTAGCAATAGGTATCCATATCGCATACATACTAATGAGGAGTGTATATATTTGCAAGCTCTGCAAGTTGATGAAAATTAATTTGGCTTCGAAAGTGAAAACAGTTTTTATTTAGGATATTTTTGTTTGGCACAAGATCCTCATTGCTCAGATCTATCCTCCTGAGTTAATAGTTTATTGAGTTCATGATGAGTTCTGTATATATATATATATATATAATATATGTTCGCGATAATGACAGATACATATGACATATTTTAAAATAGCTATAAATAACTTTTTTTTTTTTTTTTTTAATATCTATTTTTATTGTGCCATAAGTAACTGGTTCACAGGTGAGATATAAAAGAGAGAGATAGAACTAACATACGTAAAAAACGCCAAATAATGGGTGTGACACAC